AAAAATTATTAAGAATTTAACTTAATAAATAGAAATACAAAATATTCCTGTGTAGATAAAAAGCTGTGTTAAAGCGCGACGAAAAATAAATTTTACTATGTGTATTTATTAAATATCACTGCACAGTCGGAATTGGAACCGTGGCCTTCTGATTCGTAGACGCATTAGCCGTTTGCGCCAAACTTGCATTACATTTTACTATGTACTAAACCAAGTATAAGAATTCAAGAGAATATGTTGTAACGAGCATTGATAAATGTTTGCGGCCTGCTGTTGGGCTTGAATACTGAGCGCACGCAATATTTACCTCGTCTCTGGATCGTCAGCAATTGGGGGTAATATTCTTGCTCAGAAAATCAAGGCTGCCTAATTAATTATTACTAAATTCAATTTGCGTGCTGCGATAAGCAAAAATTAATGCGAGCACACTCCTACTCTTTGGGCTATTGCAGTTGGCCAAAAGAGGACAGGCACTTTACTCGATCTGCTACCGCATCGTAACCTCTGCTATTATCGAGGACCGCTTTGCCCACCCTTCCTTTGGCCGGAACAGCCCCTTTCACGGCATTGGTTATTTAAGGCAACTTTACAAAAATTGATTTACTACCTAAGAAAAACAATTGACTAACGCAGTTTACATAATAGAAATATATATATATTTGAGCTTTAGAGAGAGTCGAAGAGAGCAGACGTCAACAAAACGCTCCTTCAAGCGTTTCATCTAAGACGTGTAAACAAAACAACGTATAAGTCAATTCGAGTTATACTGTGTTTGTGAAATTAGTCGCCACGCGAATAACTTGCAACTCTTGCAATTGAACCGTCACATGTGGCATAAAATAAATTAAAAATAACCAAAAAAAACCCTTGGGTTGATGTTTGTGCAACTGTTCGCAACCCTTCGACTGCAAATAAAGCAGTGCTACTGGTAACCGCCTAACTACTTTACATAAATATGGGTTAACATGTAAAAAAAGCTAAAATGGAAGCTGGTACTTCAAACATTTCTGAACTGAAAAGAAAGGTCCGAGAATCAAATGTATTCACCCCTTCATCATCAACTCTCGTGGTCCTCATTAACCAGCGCTTCGATGAGCAGGCCCTTTAGACATAGAGTAAGAAATGTATATATATTTCTCTATATATTTCTTACTCTATGACTACAACAGCTGTTTTCTATATGCAAGGTTGGCTCAATTTTTGATGTCTTTTGAATATAAAATATATTTTTTAAATTCTGCTCGTAGTACCACATTACATTACTGCTGGATCTCTGCCATAAAATAACTCCCACATATACGGGGATCATTGCCCTTTTTAGAAACTGTGATAGTCTCCATTGCAAACCCGTCATAACAACGCAATCAGCTTCTCTTCCTTGTCGTCCAAGTTGGTAAATGCCTCGGTCGCATTGTGGATGTCCTGCTGAGCATTACAGAGTTTAGTAAACTCACTTATGTTCATTAATTTTAATTAATTTAATTTGGATTTGCCAAAATTCAAAAGTAAACAAACCCAGATCAGCTGTTCGTGCCACTCACATGTCGGAGAAGCATTAGCTGATGCTAATGGAATCAGGCACATTAAAAAAGTACACTATTGCGGCAATGGAATCAGGCTACAAATTTGTTAGTTACAATCTTTATAAATGGTTCAACAGAAGTGGCATATAAGTGGATCGCGAATATTTTGTATTATTATAGTGCGTTTTGCTGAGTTTTACAAAAGATTACCATTTGTATTCATTACGCCAATATTTAAGTAAATTTATTAAATGTATAAGGAATATTGGGAAAATTTTACCTCTATCAACCATTTTTTTCCTTGTGGCTTAAGTATGTGAGCAGGACATTTTGGAGATGGTCTCAGATTTTGTAAGTTTTTCGTTGAATATATATTTTTATAACTTATTCTTTTATTAGACAACTGATATGTAGAACTAATATGACACAAAAAATTGGAGCTGTGAAATAAAATTTTTTTTTTAATTTTCGCTTAAATTTTTGGTTGAAGTCTTGTGGCTTAAGTCTATGAGCACTACTGTCATATTTTTAATGATTTTTTTTCATATAATATATGAAATATTTTATTTAAAGTTCTTTTTGTTCAAAATATACATATGTACATGTTGAATAAAAATTTAATACTTGGCCATTACGACGCCACTTCCAAGAGTTCCTCGAAAAAAGGTCTCTTCTTTTTTCAGGATCATCTGAAGAAAAAATTATATATGTTACATGTTTTAGACCCTAAACTAGGTAAGTAAAAAGTACAAATGAAAATTTTATTTTTGACAGACATGTTTACAAAAAAATTCGAAATTTGGTGAAAATTTCTCGTTTTTTTTTTCCTTTTAAATAATAATAATTGGAAATAATCTTTTGTTATATTTCGAAGACCTGTGAAAAATTTTATTAGGATCGGTTGAGTAGGTTGCGAGAAATCTTGTCCATCAAATTTGAAAACACAGTTTTGAGGCTAACGCGTTTAAAGTTTCAAGTGACCTAGAATGTGATGAACAAGCGCACAACAAAAGTTGAAAAAAAGATGAAGACAAAACTTTATCTTCAAAACTAAAAATGTTATAGAACTTAATCAGAAAATGCAAAAAATGTTGATTTAAACCTTTACCACCAAATTGGCGTCTGCAACGAGCCTATCATAAAGCAAAGTGAAAATAACAATATATTATATTTTCAGTGTGACGCAACCAAGGTGTTAAGAGAAGTCCCCTGGCTGAAGTACGAATACCAGAAAGTACTCGCTCATGTTAGTTCGCTCGTTCATGCTTAACAGAGTCTGCTCACGGCCGCTTAAAAGAGTTGTAGCTAAAAAGTTGAAGCGACCCATTCACACAGGCATCCGCTGATGTAAAAACAGCTGAACAGCCTACTAGAAATAAACAAACATAAATAGAAGAAGAGAGCACAAAATTCAATTCTGCCGCCAGCAAAATGGATATTAACACAAAACTAAATACAATTTGGACATTTTTCCTCTGCTAATGATTTTTCCACTGATGTTGGCCTATGATGGATGTTATGGTGGCCATATTTGATTTTTTGCGCGATAATTGTAGGTCGCCCACCTTTTTTTGCCCCGCAGGTTAAATGGAAATCAATACCTCCCTACTCTTTCATATTAATTACATTCAACGACATTGACCTTAAACCTTAAAACCGCCGACTTGGCAAAATGCATTTCCATCTCCAAGAAATCGCAAAAACCATCTTAAAACTCTAAAAATACTGGATCACAACAGAATTACTGACTACTACTCGCGACAAGTTGTAGCGCCTTTAGCACCATCTCTTTCTAGCACATGTACCTTTTATAGCCTAGTTCTCAGATCGACGAAATCCGTTCGTCAGCTATGAGCGAGAGCGAGTGGCAAATAACCGGCGTACACTTTTCTCACCTCGGTACTCAGATCTACGGAAAAATACCAGAAAATTTTAAAGTGCTTGTAGATTTCTCTGGGTGAACGTGGGATGACCTTTCTGCTTAAGAACAGCGAAGCAACTCTTTGGCATTGAATCCACAAGACGTGCGCACTGTTAAGGGATGATTTTCTTCCACACTTCTTGCAAAATTCGTCACAAATCGTGTTTATTTGCAGTTTTTTGTTGGCCAACGACTTGTTTAAGAATTCCCCACAAGTTTTTATAGGGCTCAAGTCTGGGCTCTGCGGTGGCTATTGCAAAACATTGATAACCTCTTGGTTAAGCCACGACTTAACTATCTGGCTGGTGTGTTTCGGGTCGTTGTCCTGTTGAAATATCCAGGCAAATGGCAAATTATCCAGTTAAATTGTTAATAAGAATGTCCGTGTACATTTCGCCGTTCATAATGCCTTCTATCTTCACTAGGGGACCTACGCCCGATGCGGTGAACGCCATAATCTGCCACCATTTGACCTCTGATTTGCGTCGAAGTCAAGAACGGATCGGCTTCACTGAATTTGGCAATCGTCGTTTAAAGGGGTTTTTCCGTTCCATGTTTCTTATAAAATGCAATAGCATTTCTGACGGTTGGAATTTTCCACAAATGTGAAACTCCGATTTCCACAGCGCACAACTTTCCGTTATCAGCTGATCTGAACAACTGTGGCTCGTCATAAAGTAAACAAACTCAATAGGTCAACCATCTTTGTTTATGTTTTGATGAGCTACAGCTGCTCAGATCAGCCGAAATCAGAAGGTTGAAGGTGGATGTGCTCTGTGAAAACCGGAGTTTCACTTTTTTCCAAAATCCCAACGGTTTTTCAGGGATGGACGGTCTAAATCCATCAAATTTTAACGGCGGACTAACTGGGAAGTTTTTGGAACGGCAAAGTCTTATGGACCATCCCTTTATCGGATGGCGGAAGGTGGATGAATCTCTGTGGAAATACGCTATTACAAATTAGTAGAATACTTGGGTTTTTTTTCGTAATATTTTAATTTTAGCTTTCTTTCGGCCGGATTTGTATTTTTACTTTTAGCCATAGCAGTCAAATTTATTTAGGGAAACGTATTTAATATTCAATATTTTACTTTAAAAAATAGCTAGCACAACTTTCCCTAAAAAAAAACACAAATTTGACGATTTTAGCTCAAGGTGGCTAAAGTGTATGAGCAGAGCGCAATACTCCTTTTTGAAATTTAGTCAATTTCTTGGGATCCCTGAATTCCTTAAACAACAGTGTTTCAAAATGTAAAAATTTTAGGCCGAAATAAATATGTTCAAAAAAGTTATTAAGAAAACAGTTTATGGTAGTGGCAGTGACTTAAGTCTATGGGCACCATTATATGTTATTTGACCGAGGAACAAAAGAACCCATTTAACAGAAATGTTATACACATTTTTTAACAGGAATATTAGGAAATTTATTTCTTAACAGAAATGTTAGTAAATTATGGTTTTTAACAGAAATGTTGTAAAAATTATGATTTGGAGATGGATTAACATCGATGACTTCTGTCAAACATCGATAAGACTGATATTTTAAAAACATCGATGTTTCGCCACCTCTAATTTCTCACAAAAAGACGCGTCGGACTTTTAGTTTTCAGCGACTTTATTTTTTTAAATTAGTCTAGCGTCCTCAAATCAAAATAACAATACTTCAAATGCAATTTAAAAAAAGAACACTCAGCCGCAGAGCTGAAAGCCGAAAATAACGGAAAACTGGCCGAGCACAATCCAATTTTCCTCGTCAAAATGTGCGTGTGAGTAAAAAAATTCCAACAATGCGCAGCCCAATACTAATACATACACGCTGCCCGAATTTCTGTATGCAAAAGAGAGCGCAAAAAAGCAGCGGGGAAACTACTTGCCTACGTTGCGCCAGCTTTTAAAAGTGCGTATAATTAGCAATTGCACCCACATAACAGTGTCCAGAGGCTTAAAGGCCCTCAAAACCATTCAACTGTACAAACACGCCCATATTTGATGTCTGTGTGTGATGCTATTGTCCATGTGCCTACATATGTGCACGCTTCCAAGTGCAAGTGTGTCTTATTTACTTTAATTCTGCAACGATCTTTTTATTGTAAATCGCTTATCCAGCGAACGGAAGTCGTCGCCTACAATTTTTTAATTTATTTTATTATTATTTTTGTGTTGCTTGCCTTACAAACACACACCAACAAATGCTCACGCTCACGTGCAGTGTTGACAATTCAGCTATTTTGCAGCGAAATGAAGCTATCATTAGAAAGCTACCAATCGGCCGGAATTTTAAAAAATGCATGTGCCTCCAATATTTTGCGAAATTGGACATTACTCTATCTATAATCCAGAGCTAAGGATGCTTGATTATGAATTTAATTTAATGAATTTCTTAAAAATATTAAGAGAACTTACAATAGTTTTTCACGTACCTTAGATTATTAATGTTGGAGCTTCTTATGGGCCTAATTACGAGCGAATGTCTTAAATGTTAAATTATAGTTGTTGCTACTCCTTTTTATCTACATTTTACCAAATTTAGCGATTATAAGCTAAAGCGAGAGTTGGAAAAACTTCTTACGAAGAGTAGCCTAATTATGAACGAATGTCTTAAATGTTAAATTATAATTGTTGCTTATCCTTTTTATCTACATTTTACCAAATTCAGCGATTATAAGCTAAAGCGAGAGTTTGCAACACTGCTCACGAAGAGTAGCAGCTTTGCCTCCCACGCATTGTTGCCGCTACCTCAGCGCAGTCTCAAATGCATGGGAATGTTTCTTCAGCTTGGTTTTCTTTGACTTAATCTATTGCAGTGGTGTCCACAAAAACGACTCGCGAGTCTGCGATTTTTTCTGCCAGCCCGCTGCCGACACCGACAGTGTAAGCGGTCGTGTGGCTTTGGCAAGCGTCTTCTGTTTGACGCATACAAATGCAAGTTTACATGTCATTGTAATTGTGTGGACATCACTGATCTATTGGCAGCATTGTGTTTGTTGTGGAAGAAAATGAAAGTGTGTTAGTAAGGGCCACAAAAGAAACCTGCAGACCAAAATTTAAAAGAAAAAGCAAAAAAAAACTGACAAAAGTTTTGATTTGTTTTGGCGAACAAAATTCAAATCTTTCTTTAAGAGCTTTGTGCATTAAATTTAAAAATTGTTTGCATATTCTAAGACTACTATTTTTGTAGAAATATAATACAAACAGAGAATCGTCCAAGTTGAAAAAAATGAACTTTTCACTTAAAAAACGGTTCGACTTTGAATTTGTTGTTGTCGATTAAGAAATCCGAATAAAAAGATATCGCTCAAAAAGGGGTACCTGCCATATCTAAGAGTTATACAAAGTTTGAAATAAATATGCGCTGCCTAGGCATAACTAGAATTTTCTAGCTTTTATAGAATTTATATATTTTATACCCAGCGGTATCATTACGAAATCGATTATGAATGAACTATTTTACCTCCACTAATAAGGAGAGAATGGATTACCACCTGGACTACATTGCCATTCAGCAATACAATCTGCATTACTACCAGGCGAGAGCCGAATCGCTTTCGGGTCCGATTACAATTTAGTATACAAATTAAAAAAGAAACGTAAACATATTTATTTCCCAAGTAAGAATCGAACCTGGATCTAATTTTTATGATTAAAAAATCATGATACTAGACAAGAAATAGTGATTTACGTAAGCTTTAAGAGTCTATCTAAATCTATCTATTTAAATCTAAGCTCGAAACCGAAACATAAACAAACGGACAAATGGACATGGCTATATCAGCACTGGTCTAGTAATGTTGATCAGAAATATAAATACTTAATAGAACCAACTTGACTTCTGTCCAATATTATATTATATTCTTTTGTTTTATCTTAGCTCTCCAATTAAATCTTCAGATAAACTACTCTCTTTTGATGTGGGCTTATGTCTTTTCTTGACTCTTTCAGTTAAAAGGACATACCACAAATCTGACGGGGTGAGACTGGCAGCAGTAGGCAAAATCCCCAGTAAAAGCTACGCCTCATGGATCCGTATCACCATATCAAACATCATGTGAGCGCGCTCAGATTTGTTTATTGGTCTTTAATACAATTTATCTTTCTACAGTATCCACCCACAAGCATAGCCAGCACAGGAGCGGCGGTGGGCAGCTTTCCGGCAATCAACCGACCAGAATTGCACCAAAAATGCAACCGGGGCTCGCACTCCAGTGACACCAGTTCGGCATACAGCGGTAGCGATACAATGGCCTCCAACTATGCCTCTTCAATGGAGGCCGAGGAGATTGACCTATCAGGCTTGGTGGAGTCCGTCGTAGACTCTGACGAGGAGGATCTGGCAGAGAGCATGGATGTAAGTATTGATGATTAGACATCTATAATTTTCGGGAATGGTGCGCATTTTACATATTTGTGTTACATGTTTGTGTTATTATTTAAGGAAGTTTTTTGTGTTGCTATATTTGTTTGAAGCTAACATAGTTTTGTTAAATCCTGCAGTACAAATTCATTTATTGGCGATCCATATCTTGACCATTGCTCCAAAATTAACGTGTTTTTAGAGGAATAGTTAATATGTATGTGAAAAGTCCATTTAGGCGTTAAACTTGCTTTGGTTTGAAACTTAGTATAGAAGACCCCTTGCTCATAAAAATAATATATACATTTTATTTTATTTGAACACCTCTTGTATTTCTTTGCAATTATTTAGAGTCTAACTGTTCGAGATGCAGTGCGGGACTGCCTGGAGAAGGATCCGGCGGAGCGTAGCGAAGAGGACGTGGAAGTGCTGCTTGAGTTCACGCAGGGCCTTAAAGCTTTCACTAACATCACACTGGCAGTCCGACGAGCACTCTGTTCAGTGATGGTGTTCGCCGTGGTGGACAAGGCCGGAACCGTAGTTATGTCAGATGGTGAAGAACTGGACTCATGGTCGGTGCTCATAAACGGGGCCGTGGAGATCGAACATGCCAACGGCAGCCGGGAAGAGCTGCAGATGGGAGACTGTTTCGGTATCCTTCCAACTATGGACAAGCTTTACCACCGAGGTGTGATGCGGACCAAGTGCGATGACTGCCAATTTGTGTGTATCACGCAAACGGACTACTACCGTATTCAGCATCAGGGCGAGGAAAATACACGGCGGCATGAGGACGAGAATGGGTCCGTGGTCATGGTCACGGAGCTAAGATCCATTGGAGGCGGTAGCGCCGATTGTCCTGGCGGTGGCGGATCGTCAACGAATGCTTTGGCTTCGTTAAACATGAAACGCGGCCACGTCGTTATCCGCGGCACTCCGGAGCGGCTGCTTCAACAGCTGGTCGAAGAAAACTCAATGACAGACCCAACCTATGTGGAGGACTTTTTGCTTACACATCGCATCTTTATTCATAACCCGAAGGAGGTGACCAGCAAGTTGCTGCATTGGTTCGATCTAGAGCAAATGGATGCCCACAAGACTCAAGAACTGCGAGATCGCGTTACGCGCGTGGTGCTCCTCTGGGTAAACAACCACTTCACGGATTTTGAAGCAGACCATGAGATGATGGAGTTCCTAGAAGTCTTTGAGGCACTGCTTGAGAAAAAAAAATTGTTAAGCCAACTGCGTCTTTTGCACATTGCGTGCGCCGCCAAAGCCCGAATGCGCAGCTCCACCCTCACTCGATCTTCGCGTGACGAGCCGCTTAAATTCAGCATCGTAGGTGGCTATGAGCTTAGAGGAGTAGCCGTAGCCACCGGAAACGCAGCCGTGGGCATTTACATTTCGCACGTTGAACCGGATTCAAAGGCACAGGAGGTGGGACTCAAGCGAGGTGACCAGATTCACGAAGTAAATGGACAGTCACTAGACCATGTGACTAGCAAGCGAGCCATCGAGATCCTTACGGGCACAACCCATTTGAGCATCAGCGTAAAAAGCAACCTCCTTGGTTTCAAGGAGATTTTGCAGGCCCTTGAGCATGGCGGTGGATCCGCTGGATCCGGAAGTATCTCCGCAGGCAACGTCACTTTTAAATGCCTAAGAAGTCCACGCCGCATTTGCGCTAATGACATTGCTAAGTTGCACGGTCGCTCTGATAGCACTACCGATGAATTGTCCACCGTCAACGCCTCGAATCGGGCGCATATGGTGCGCCTAAGTTCTGTAGATATGCTTCTCGACCAGCCGGACTGCGCGCCCCCGCAAACACCGCCAGTGAGTGGAAGCGGTAACATGGCCTCCAACTTTATGCAGCAGCTCCTACAAAGCGTTAACAACAGCTCCGCTAAAAAGAGCTCATGGTCCAACTCAAATTCGGATCAGCAAGACACAAAAGGAGGTTTTATGACTTTGGCGCCCAAACGGAGATTGCAAAAGGCGCTGGCAAAGATGAATTTGCTCAATAAACACCATCACGGAAGCAGCCTTAACGATTCATCGGACACGCTGCTCAATGAGCCCAAGTCAAAGCTCTCTACGGTCACCTCGTGTAGCAGCTCCACTCAGTCTTCAATTAATGGCTGTACAGTCAGTGGCAGTGGCCGTCTTTACCAGTCGCAATCAAATCCGGATTTAACCAGCCTCAACTATGAAGGAGGCAGTGAGGCGGGAGGAAGTGGTGACGGAAGGCTGCAGGCAAACTTTCTGGGTGCACACGTTCACCGGCCATCAGCAGCCAGTACCCTGACGACAAACTCGATGCAGTCACACCTGCCTGACTACCCGGACCACGTGTTAAAAGTGTATAAGGCAGACCAAACGTACAAATATGTGCTTATCTATAAGGAGACGACGGCTCACGAGGTGGTAATGCTGACATTGCAGGAGTTTGGAATCCACGATCCTAGCTCCAATTTCTCTCTTTGTGAAGTGAGTGTAGGCGATGGAGGGATGGTAAAACAGCGACGGCTTCCCGATCAGCTGCAGAATCTGGCGGAGCGAATAAGCTTTGCGGCGCGCTACTACCTCAAGCTGAATGATAGTACCGAGCCGCTAGTTCCTGACGAACTAGCCTTGGAGTTAGTACGCGAGTCAAGTGTGCACTTCCTGCAGCTGAATGCATACGAGCTGGCCATTCAACTCACCCTTCAGGACTTTGCCAACTTTCGCCAGATTGAGTCTACCGAATATGTGGACGAATTGTTCGAAATACACTCTCGCTACGGGGTGCCCATGCTCAGCAAATTTGCTGAGCTCGTCAATCGCGAAATGTTTTGGGTGGTGGGTGAAATTTGCGCCGAGCACAACATCGTGCGTCGCATGAAAATAGTAAAGCAGTTCATTAAGATTGCGCGCCACTGCAAAGAGTGTCGTAACTTCAATTCCATGTTTGCTATCATCTCCGGCTTGGGGCACGGAGCTGTGTCGCGACTGCGTTTAACGTGGGAAAAGCTGCCTTCCAAGTACCAGAGGTTATTTAACGACCTTCAAGATTTAATGGACCCTTCGCGCAACATGAGCAAGTATCGGCAATTAGTGTCGGCCGAACTGCTGGCTCAGCACCCCATCATTCCGTTTTATCCAATTGTAAAAAAGGATCTTACTTTTATCCACTTGGGCAATGATACAAGAGTGGACGGCCTAATCAACTTTGAGAAGCTTCGAATGCTTGCCAAGGAGGTGCGCCTACTGACTCATATGTGTAGTTCACCCTACGATCTGCTGTCTATCCTTGAGCTCAAGGGACAGTCTCCCTCAAACGCCCTTTTCTCGCTAAATCAAATGTCTGCGTCACAGAGCAACGCAGCCGCCGGCACAGTAATCGCGGCCAACGCTGGCCAGGCAACGATTAAGCGGCGCAAGAAGTCAGCGGCGGCGCCCAACCCCAAAAAAATGTTTGAGGAAGCGCAGATGGTGCGTCGAGTGAAGGCGTACCTTAACAGCCTTAAAATACTCAGCGACGAGGATCTTTTGCACAAATTTTCGTTGGAGTGCGAACCGGCACAGGGATCAACCTACTCGGGCAGTATATCGCACGGCAACACATCGCACCGTAGCGGAGGTGGGGGCAGCATCAGTGGCGGTGGTGGTGGAAGCTCTAGTGGAGGGGGTGCTGGCAGTTCCAGCCTCAATGCCGGCGACCAACTGAGCATCTACTCGCATACCAGCTCTAGCTCGGCACCGAATTCCTCTCTTTCGTGTCGCAAAAGGCACCCAAGTTCGCCCACCCTTTCGACTACCAGTTCAACTAGTTCCACCAGCGATTATCAGCGGCGACAAGTTCACAACAACGGGCCCAAGTTTGGCACAGCTTCGCCTCAGGCAGTCAAGAAGATGCTATCGCTGTCAGAGTCTTCCAAGATCCGGCCACACCAGCCGTTCGTAACACGCCACGGATCCGCTGTGCCTGGTGTAATTCCGCCGTTACATCACATGCATGCCGCACATGGTTTCAGCACACCATCGGCTGGTGGAGCATTAGGACAGGCTACTTCGCCGGCGGCAGGTGTAGTACCCAATGTTCAGTGCACGCCGAGTCCTAGTCCCTGCTCCCATCGACGTCTGGCATCGGGAGGTAGGAGGATGAACCAATTTTATTTTGAAATAACTTGTATTGTACATGTTGGACATGTTGTAGCCTGTTTGTCTAATCGATTTTTGGTTTTTGTTTTAATCTCGTTTGCAGGCAACATAATGCCCACACGTGCCATCCACGAACGATCGCACTCGGATACTCCAGCTCCGCCCCCGCCTTTACCATCAGTTGATCTCTCCCTTGAGAGCAGTAGTGTAACTACTTTTCGCGATTTACCACTGCGCAAATCCGTAACTTCCGGTGAGTGCCCTTTTATCATGACCGTAGTTATAAACTAAAAAAAATGTTTTAAGGGCTTTTAAAACCGGATGCTAAGTATGCTCGTACTTTAAATTTGAAAAATAATTCTAGTATACGGATTAAATGTTTTGTTGAGACTTTACATTTTTTTTTGTGTTAGTATAATTTTGTATACCTCCTCAAGGGTATTATAATTTTGATCAAAAGTATAGAGTGCAAGGTGTTTAGCTCTCCTTTTTTTTTAACAAAAAACTTTGATTCTGTTTTAGGATTATGTTTTTTTGAACCTTTATAATTTAAATGATCAAGTCGAGATGTTATCGGCCAATTATGACAGGCCTCATTTGGCTAATATCATCTCTCTATTTAGGAAAAAAAATATATCGGCTGACCTCTTTTGGCCCACCTTGTATATGTGTTCCTTAGTAGCATGATTTCTTTCTGTACCGTTTAAAGGCTCAGCTTAAAAGCTAGAAAAACTTTTGCAATATCTGCCAGGGAAACGGTAGGCCTAAATTAGTTACATTTTGTTGCCTTTCAAGAGACCCTTATATCTGGCCTTATCATTTATTTATCATTTATACATAATGGCGATGCGAGTTAAAATAACTATAAAAAAACGGGTTGACATTTTTGAAATATTTTTTTTTTTTATTGATAGCCCTACATTGCTGATAATTTGTAAAAAAAAACACATCATGCGATTTCGGTTCGAGCAATGGGCCGAAGAGCGCTTGCTTGAAGATCAGCATTTTTATCAAAAAATCATCTTTTCAGATGAAGTTCATTCGTTTCAACCTCCGGTGGTTACCGTCAATACTAGAATTGCCGCACTTAGGCTCCAAAATGGGCATGTAGTCTTGGAGAAGCCTATGCATCCGCAACGAGTGGCTGTTTATTGCGGTCAGGCACCACTGGCTCGTTTTCCTTTGAATGCCAACGATCCATAGAGGATTGACGACTTAAAGCACGAGTCGTCATTGAGGCCATTGAGGATCATATTATCGAAAATGTGCTTTACAAATTGTGTCGATTAAATGACATACTGCAAGGCCTTCCGGGGCAACCATATGAATGAAGTGGTCTTCCACAAATAAACCGCAATTTTGGGGCTATTCAATAAAAAAAAATACTTGAAAAATATCCACTACTTTTTTTTAAAAGTATTTGAAAGCGCAAATTTTTTATGATTTCCCTTACTATAACATTTTTAAATTAAACAAATTTATTAAAAATTTATGAAGTTGATTACGAAGCATACTTAGCAATCGAATCCCTATAAATTAATTTTAACCTTTAGTCGCCAATTAGATATTCTTCGCTAGTTGCGCTTTAGACTCTGTTCCCTGCTTGCATTTGACATTATATAGTTTGTTATGGTTGAATTGGGTTTGGTTGGTTGTCGGCTTAATATACGGAAGCATTAACACGCTTACATAACACACATATTCGCACCTCGTGGTGTCATAAAATGAATCCTAAAAAAGGTAACCATTTCGCGGCAGCCACCTGAGACATTTTCTTTAAGCTACTTTCACATCCAATAGGTTCCATATCGTCCTGTGACAGCGGCTACGTGCATCAGCAGCAACACCACCATTTGCACTACCGACAGCAACAGAGCAGCACGCAACACGAACTATCGCCGCCGGTTTATACGGCAGCCGACTGCCGGTTGCTGCAACAAATATCAAACAATGCAGTGACTCGAAATCTAAACAGTTTATGTCAGAGCACAAACACATCGTCCAGCACACCAATACCTCCACCAACACAGCCGACAGCAACCATTCAGCTTTCTGCACCACCGACGGCAGCGGCATACATGCAAATACGCAACCAACAAAATCAGCAGCTTCAGCACCAACAGCAATCCTTGGTCATGCCACCCCCGCCTCCACCGCCGTACAATGTGCCACCTCTGGCCAGTCTCTACAGTCACCAGCAAGGCAATCCTGGCAGCAGGCCTTTGAACCACATGCATGGTAAGCGGAACTGAGCAGACTTCATGCAACCAGACCCAGATCAGGATCCAGCAACTTACAAATGCAATGCGGGAACCGAGTCAGGTTTTTCTGAAATTGGCGCTAACGGGATGTTGGGTATTTTCCCTTATTAATCTATCTTTAAAAGATAGTCGCTTCACCACCATTTTTAATCTTTTTTTTTTACAGTGGGCCCGCCAAATTTTATGGATAGCACCAAGTGTACCATATGCCCCATGACATCCATAAATCAGTAAAAAAACCCAATTGTGCTGTTTTTACTGCTGCATGTTTATTTAATTAGTTGTAAGTATTCATTTATAGTGTTTAAAAATCAGGTCCTCAAATTTACACCGAAATAAGTTTTGAAGAGTATTATTTGCCATGGGCCTATTCTATGTGAAGTGTGACAGAAAATATCGAATTATCGAAAAAGCCAAATAAAAGTTTAAGGTACCTCGTAATGAAAAAATGGAGAACTGTAGAGTCGTTCGCTTAAGGGAGCATTTCAATGTAACAAGTTGGAAAAATATATGAAAATTTTAGAAATATTTAAAAAATGAACTCTTTAAAAAAAATGTAATAAAGTGATTTTAACGAGGTTTCCAAAAATGAAAATTGTTGATTAAAGGGCGAAGTTTTTAGGGCTTGCACTTTCGAAACACCAATATATTTTTTTCTTTTCTTTTACGTAATAATATTTTTTTAAATGCATATCGACATGTTAAGCAATTGATCTTTCGTTTAATAAAAAGGGTAAACAAAACGGGAAAACCTATTGTTCTTTTTGGCTCAATCGACATCCTTAATTTTGCTTGTTGTTGTTGTTTTTTTTTTTTTTTTTTTTTGTGAATTTGAGACCCTACAATTCATGGCACCTTTCACATGGAATTGCTCAGAGGGTTTTATACCCCTTACTCGTAGATACATATATACCTTTATATTGTGTTATTTTTTCGATCACGATCATTAGCAGTGTCGATTTAGCCACGTCAGTATGTCTGTCCGTTATAAGGTCGTGTTTTTGCAAACACGCAGATTCAAGTTCACAATTCACGAACCTCGGTAAATATTGGATAACATAGTAACTGTGTAACTGTTTGTTAAAAACATAATTCGCACATAACTCTTTTGTTCACTACGCTTTGCTCGCGAGAACAACCGAAAAAATCACCCTCCTTCGTTCGCTCTCTGATCGGCAGACTTCGTTTTTTTTTCAGTCCAAACGGTCTTTTCATTGTTCTCAAGCCAAATTCCCAAAGCCAAGTGACGCGATGGCTCTACCTCGAAACTTTACATACACACATACGTGCGCAAAAGACTTTAAATCGTCGTTCGAAAGCAAACGGTCCGGGAAATATTCAAATATTTTTTTTTCTCGTTGCTAACCAAACTTATAGACGGCTCTATTCCATTTTCATCTTTTGAAAAACCTTTATTCACGGAATTCTTCCTCCCAGCATTAGGCAGTCAAATTCAGCTCCGCCAGCAAAATTTTTGTAAAATACTTTTCGATGTTCCTTGCAAATGACATTTTTTAATTCTAACCTAAAATCCAAATCTGTTGGTCCTCAATAATTTTTAGGCGAGAATTCCAGGAAATATGTAGTACGAGAAAAGAATATTTTTTTTTGATTATTTTTCAGCAATCTCTATCATGTTAGTTTAACTATGAAAAAAATGTTTTATTTAAAGTTCAAGAAAATCTCACAAAGTTCATTAATACAAAAAAATATCGGTATAAAATTTTATCACACCTTTGGGCAGAAAATGTAGTTCTTCTAAAGGAAAATCTAATTAAACTTATTTGATCATAATCACTTCCGAGTGGAAATTGGAAAAGGCCGTAATACCATCAAGCTTTTAGGATAAGTTAAAACTAGAAAGCGTTTCCAACCGTATGGTTCAGAAACGAATTAAATAATTCGTGTTTATATATTATAAAATTTATGTATTTTTTCAGTATATAGAGCTGCCAAAATTTGTTAATGGTTGCGACTTCACGTTTGGCAGCATTTAATCACGGCAAACCCAATAACTTTTTCGGAGCAGCCAAAACAACACTGGAATCCATTTGTTTTGAGTATATGATTAGCTTTAGTGTCTTAAAATTTAATTTTAGTTAGCGGTTACGATTTATATTTTAATTTAGCAAAATTCTTTGTACACATTTTCACCCTCATCTTTCACCGCCAGCGTAGAAGTTGCCTTTTCTCTTTAAAGAAAACGTCTGCAGGCAGACTCTCAAAGCAGACCCTAATTAAAATTTTAAGACTTTTCGTCGGTATTTAAAATTGTAAGAACAGAACAAAAAATTGCATGCCTATCATGACAATCGATAAAGAACCACAAAATGAAATCAACTTAAAGCTCTCGTTAATTCCATAAATGTTGACTTCTTTGAACACTTATGTACAAGTAAATTTTACTTCTGTATACGCTATATATATAAAACCTTCGCTCCAATTCCAAATATTTAGTTATTAAGCCCAAAAGAGAGAGACAGACAAAAATTTATTTCGAATATTTTTTCCAAACATTTATATTTATGTACTCAATCAAACAAGAGAAGGAAAATGGCAAAAAATGCAATATTTGTCTAAAGAATTATACAATTCCTTGACCTAGCCCACAAGAATAAAAATAAATGAACAATGTACAATTTTCTCTATTAAAGACAAACCTAAGACATATAAGTAAACCATATATAACATTTTTAAATCGCGTTTTTCTCACACCTAATAAATAAGATTAACATATTTTTGTGTGTGTATTATTAATGCCTGTTATATACATAGATATATACAATATATATACAACATAAATATACAAACTATACAAGAAATCTCTATATACATACAAATCATAAGTGGAGATTCGTTTCCCGCTCAAAATATAAAGCAAAAATCAAATAAAATAAAATCAAATCAAATAAGGCCCGAAATATGTATACATTGTGCTTTTTGTATTTTAAGTTAGACTAACAATAAATTTCGCGTTTTACAGCTTTGAAGGAACTCATAAAAATATAAGCTTAAAACTGTATAAACAATAAAAATCGCATACTTTGCTTTAATATCTAACTATTTTTATATTTCTCTAAGTGCACTAAGTAGTTCGATTAGTATAAATTATCATTCTAAACCAAATTTTAATGTTTAAATAAGGACAGTTCCACTTATATTCCTCTTTTAAAATCACAATTTTCCGACTATGATCAACACGAACTGAACAAGTGTTTTTAACTTCTTTAAAAGAGTTCGTTTTAATTCCATTTAAACCAACAAACAATTAGCATACTTTAACTCAACTCATTGTGAAAAATTTGTAAGGTCTTTTTCAGTTTGCTTCCTTTCTTGAATGTTGATTAATTCTACGCCATTCCTCTCGCTTGGAAATTTCGTAATTTTTTTTGCAACAAGATAAATACAAATTCCTTTGCATGTGCGGAAAAGAACAACTATTTGTAGTGGAAGAATTTTCGGAAGCTTTTCTAGACTAAGTCCAAAAGTCGATTAATTAATAAAAATTACACTCAAAGTAAATAAAATGTAGTAAATGTCGAGTTGTTTTCCGAAACTCGGGTCGAATATTACCTAAAGTATAGGTCAATTTAATGTGTTTTCATATTTGGAGGTCATGGAATAATTTGTATACCCTTGCAGAGGATATTATAATTTTAGTCAGAAGTTTGCAATGCAGTGAAGGAGACATTTCCGACCCTATAAAGTATAAATATTTATGATTAGCATCACTGCATCACTAGGAGTGTCGATCGAGCTATGTCCGTCTGTCCGTCCGTTTCTACGGAAACTAGTCTCTCAGTTTTAAAGAAAACTTTCCCAAAAGTTGTCTTTCGATTGCAGGTAGTACAAAAAAGGAACAATAGGAAAAATTAATGAATTTTTTTTATTTCTTCGACATGTAATAATGGTTAAATATTTTAGAAATACTGTTTAAATTTAATGAAAATCGGACGACTATAACATTAAGCTCCCATAAGAACAATAAAAATATTAAAACAAAATAATTTTTTTTAATGTAACTCTTCTATTTTGTAATATTTTTAAATTTTTTTTGGCCTATTAATAATTTGACAGTTCAGAATTACGCTTTATACTTATATAAATCGGAAAACGATATCATAGGAACTATCGAATAATTGAGCTTCAAATCATCATAGCTTCAACCGCTTTTTAAGAGTCCATATGTTTTTCCAGTTGCTTTAATTTTATGATTGTTCCATGCTAGTGTGTTGTTGAGCGTAATGCCTTAATTGTTTGCATTGTAAACGTATTCAATGGGAATACCTTTAATCACTAAATTAGGCCATGTTCTTATTCAATCAATTTCTTGTAGATACGAAAAACTTACACTTAAGAAAAGTTAAAAATGGTTTTAATTTGGTGCATAAAATTTTATAATTTACTATGTCAAAAGCTTTGAAAAGTCAAGTAATGCCAGAAAGGTAACTCTGCTTTCATCCACCTTCAACCTTCAAGAATGGCAGTTTCACAGCTTATGTTCTTACTAATGTTTCCATGAGGCTTTAGAGTCTTTATGGGAATTTACCTTGTTTTAGAATTACTACGTCGTCCGGATATGCGACTACCCTCTCTTTGCAGGAGTAGTACTAGTTGGCTGACTTCTGCGACACATAGTAGAGGGGACGAATCTTGAAGCATAAGCCGATTTCATAGTTTAAGTCGCCAACTATGTATGGAGTGCGGTTTCAGTCAATTTGCCTTTTCGGTAAGTATGCTGTGCGTTTGAGAAAAGGATATATTGGGGGTGTCTATTAGTCTTCACAGGCTTTGAGTAGGAACGAGGAGAGACTTATTGGTCTGAAATCTTTTGGAGCTGTATGTGACGATTTCCTATTGTCATAATCATCTTGGGATGAAGATTACTTTAACTTCTAACCACCTCTTAAGTATGCGTTGCAGAAGTAGGCAGTTCATGAAAATAACCTTCAACTTCAGCCAGATAATGTGGAGGGTCTCTTGCAGTTTTTCTGAAAAAAAAAACATCTGGTCCTAGGAATTTAAAGGGCTTGCATGTGACTTATAGCCCATTTATGCGCGAGTGTCTGGCTTCTGTCCACTTCCTGTTTTTTTTCAGGCATCCTATAGTTGTAGGAGATTTAAATAAAATCATTCTTTGCCGAGCCGCTTCGGTGGTCGACTGTATGCTACTGCAAAAGCGGGCTACTCTTTTCGTTTGGCCATTCTAATTTTTTTTTCTTGTAAATTTTGTGTAGTACTTACTTCAGCTATTACACTGGTTTACAAGTTTAAATCGATGAAATCGTTGAGATGTTATACTTATATTTCCCGGGTGTTTCGAATAAATGGAGGTAGAGAGTTGGTTGTCCTTAGAATTTTTATTTCTTCAAAGCTTGGGCATAAGGCATTTAGCACCAATGCAGCAATGTAACTTTATGAAACGAAGGTCAACGGCTACAAATCTTCTTGAATTTACCTCAGTCATCAAGAGCGCTTTTAAAAATAACTATTAAACTTTTCTTATTTTTACAGACTTCAGTAAGGCATTCGATTCCGTGAACCATCAGTTATTATTGAAAAACTAATACTCTTAGGATTCCCGATCCCGTTGACAAAGTGGATTTCAACATACCTGTCGAACCGGACTTAGAGAGTAGCTTTTAAATGCACATTCTCTTAATGTGTTCACGTGACCTCAGGTGTTCCGCCAGGAAACCACATAGGACCCCTACTGTTTGGAATTTTTTTAAATGACTTGCCTCAAGTAGTTCTCTCTTCTCGTGTTATGATGACGTAAAACTTTGTTTGCCGTTATCGAACCCCAATTCATAGAACATTGGCAAGCCGATCTAAACAATCTGCATTCTTGGTGCATCCAGAATTTGCTGTTTTCAAAGAACTCGAAATTAAACTTTATGTCCTTTTATCGGAAGAGACTTCTCCTCACTTCATATGCTATTGGGTCAAATGATCTTGAACGCATAGATTTCCTATCAGACCTTGGAGTGTTATTCAACTTCTCTGATCACATTGGCATTGTAGTTAGTAAAGCAAAAGGGGTGTTTGCCTTTGTTAAACGTTGGTCTAAGGAATTTGCGGACCCCTATACCACGAAACACTTATACATTTCCTTGGTTCGTCCAATTCTTGAATACTGCTCGTGTGTTTGGTCTCCTCAATATACCAATTATCAGGACCTTATAGAATCGGTACAGAAACAGTTCCTTTTGTTTGCTTTACGTGTTTTAAACTGTGATACACATCGTCACCTACCATCTTACGTGGATAAACTGCGTCTACTGAACCTGCCCTCCCACAAGGATCTTCGGACCTGCTATGGTGTCATGTACCTTCACAAATTAATAACTGGACTTTTACATTCAAGCTACCTAATGGATCAAATACGGTTCTCCCTGTAAGTCTACTCGTCACTTTCGACATATTGCCCTCGATATTTGTAAGACGAATTTCGGGGTACATGATCCATTTCGTGTTTTATGTTCGCAATATAACGAACTGTGTTTTTTGACATTTTCTCAATGCTCTGTTCATTTAATTGTAACAACATCCTAACTCACCTATCCTTACCCCATCCCACTTGATGTGAGTCGGGTACTATGTTTATGTTGGCAGATATTTGCTAACTTTAATTTAATAAATAAATAAAAATAAGGGACTTATAAGTTCACAGATTTTGATACCCACAATCCAAGGTTATTGGACTGGGATTACGTCTATAGCGCCTGTCTCCAGACTTTTGAGGAACTAGTCAAATGTCACATAGCCTGTGTTGCTTGTCTCCTCCTTTGGGGGTTCATACGATGCTCTGGCCATAGAACATTGATTTTATTCAAACAAACAAACAGGACGACAAAAGTTTTTATTTCAAAATTGTTTATTGTTGGGTATCGTTGTGCGCGTATTTAGAGCCAGAAACAAAAACGTTCTTTCGCACTTTCACCCATATTTCTCTAAAAGCCGTATTATGCTCAAGCTATATTTTTCGATTGTTATATAATTTTTTAAAATCAGACTATTTTATGCTGATAGTAGTCTCCTTGCGTACACTCTCCGATAGCTCGACGTTCATACAGACGGACAGACAGACAGACATGGCCAGATCGACTCGGCTATTGATTCTGATCACGTAACTAGTAGGTGGCTTGCGTGTTACTAAATGATGATAAGGACGCACGGGCATAGGTCCAGCTGCTCCTTGTCGGCTATTTATTAGTCTTCGAATAACTATGAAAGACATGGCCGCATTTTATCTTGTAATTTGTGGAGATAGTCAAGTCTTTCTCACACAATTTGCATTAAGCCTCCGTTGCAGCCACTACTTTATCGGCATCATTCATTGTTTGCCTTTTTTTATTTGTGCTTTGATTTCAATGCGAAATTGTTGTGACTTAAAATCATAAAATTATATTTGTTTTTATTTTCAAGTTAGTTAAAGCTATATTATTGTTGTTTGCCCACTTGGCGCTTTTATTATACCCTTGCAGAGGGTATTATAATTTCAGTCAGAAGTTTGCAACGCAGTGAAGGAGACATCTCCGACCCTATAAAGTATATATATTCTTGATCAGCATCACTAGTAGAGTCGATCTAGCCATGTCCGTCTGTCCGTCCGTCTGTCCGTCCGTTTATATGCAAACTAGTCTCTCAGTTTTAAAGCTATCTGCATGAAACTTTCCCAAAAGTTGTCTTTCTATTGCAGGTAGTATATAAGTCGGAACGAGCCGGATCGGACGACTATAGCATATAGCTCCCATAGGAACAATCGGAAAAATAAATGAAAAAAAATTATAACTTTGCTGTTTTTTAATTTTTTGTTTAGTTCTTCGACATATAGCAATGGTTAAATAATTCAGAATTATGGTTTAAATTTCATCAAAATCGGACGACTATAGCATATAGCTCCCATAGGAACAATCGGAAAAATAAATGAAAATAAAGTATAACTTTGCTGTTTTTTAATTTTTTGTTTAGTTCTTCGACATTTAGTAATGGTTGAATATTTCCGATTTACGGTTTAAATTTTATCAAAATCGGACGACTATAGCATATAGCTCCCATAGGAACAATCGGAAAAATAATTGAAAAAAATTATAACTTTTCTGTTTTTTAGTTTTTTGTTTAGTTCTTCGACATTTAGTAATAGTTAAATATTTTCGATTAACGGTTTAAATTTCATCAAAGTCGGACGACTATATCATATAGCTTCAATAGGAACAATCGGAGAAATAAATGAAAAAAATTATAATTTTTCTGTTTTTTAATTTTTTGTTTAGTTCTTCGACATTTAGTAATGGTTAAATATTTCCAATTTACGGTTTAAGTTTCATCAAAGTCGGACGACTATAGCATATAGCTCCCATAGGAACAATAAAAATATATAAAAGACCTATCAAATAATTGAGCTGCAAATCATCATACCTTCAATGTTTTTAAACATATACGCAAGTAAATTATAATTTTAATGTTTTCAAAAATGTTTAATTCTTGCAATAGCTGCAAGGGTATATGAACTTCGGCTTGCCGAAGTTTGCTTTCTTTCTTGTTTAAATTGAATTCACTAGTTGTAGGGCGAGAG